CAGAGTGCCCTGATGTTTTAGACTTGTCATTATCGAAAATAACATTTATTGCATGATTGGTACTCTATGTGTTCTAAAGGCCAAATTGTTTTCAGTAAAAAAGTGATTAAACTCCATTTAGTACGTTTCAATCTGTTGGAAATGACTTCTCAATAACTTTTCAAGTGACTTCACGTAAAGATTATAGGTCTCTAGTTCCCAGGTTGGGTGGATGTCTTTATTGGGCCTTACCAAGAAAGATCATCTTAGCAGTCTTAAAAACAAATGGAAAATGTCCTGAGGCCAAGATGGCATTAAAGATATTTTACAAAGGGACTTGTTTACAAATTCTAGGTAGGATACTTTATTTGTTTCATTGTTATTCCAGAGAGGCAGGTGCTCTATTTCTCATTCTTCCAATACACCTGACTTATCTCTCGTAATGTAATAGGTCAGTAAGAGGGTGTGTATCTTCAAGAGTTGAAGTATATGATGGAAGGTAGTGGTAGTAGATCATCCAAGTTCTATCTCTCCATTCATTTACCATACTGATAAGATTATTGTTAAACAACTGACGACTGTTATTATGGGAGAGAATTTTCGCCCAATACATCACCCATCAAATTAGCCTGGTCCTGTGGATTCCTTCAAGTTTAATTTCACATCTTCATCCTCCTATCAGTGAGGTAATGAACTAGGTAGGTAGGGGCCTTGTGCTTTGCCCTAAAAGTTGTCGGATACTCCAAAATTTTGATGGTTCACGTTGATACTGATTAGCTTGAAGAACTAGAAATTTCCATATGTCCTGTTTGTGATGACTCATCATGTTAATTAATTCGTGCCTTATTCGGTTGCAGTGTAGCTGCTGGTGGTTGTTGCGTTTGAAGATGCCTTGGACATTTGCCTTGATAATTTCGTTAAATTGTCTCTAATATTCTAGTAGGTTTATATTGTTGGTATATCTTTGTGGAAGCTAATTGACAAGTTGCATTAGAGCTTCAAATTATTTGATTATGCAGGGAAGACCTGATTGCATCATCGTGCATTGGACGGTAGATTTTTCAATGACACAATTTCATCATCACCCAGATATGCCCTGAAAGGGGTCAATATCTAGGGTGTTAAGATTGGGTTTAGGTTGTACAGGGATTCTAAATGGAGAAGTTTGTAGTTGTATTATGACAGGATATGGTCAGCTCTACGTTTCCACCAGGAGGATATACGGACAGTGAAGATGTCACAGTCCCTGTTGTCCGTTACTATATCAGGTTGTCCCTGGATGAGGTCCATGTACGAATTTAAAGAATGGGCCTTGAAATGACAAGTTTCGTAGCTGTCATGATATTAAAGAGTTGTTTTCTTTTAAGTCACCAGTGAAATACAGCTCCACAGTTGAAGAGGGCAGGGTGATGAGCATTAAAATCTCCGCTAGAATTGTTGAATATTCCTGGCTTTCATATCCTATGTAGAGGAATTGACTCTATATATTGTTTGTCTCGGGGGGAAATATCCAGTGCTATCACTTCGTTGTCCATGAGACGTTGTCATTTCTATTGCAAGAAATGTTATCTGTCATCACATGATATTTTTAAATGTATAGCCTAATTTTACTAAGATGGCTTACCCCACTAAATGGTCCTCTCGATTCTCCCACAGTTTAGAGTATACCACGTAAATTTAATATGTTGATCAACTCTTGCAGCGTCTCGTTCAGAAGTATAACATGGGGATTGTTATTATGTAGTTCAACCTCAAGAAGGTAACGGTTATTAACGAATGTTGAACATTAAGTTGCGAAAATTGTAACCCATTATTTCTGTCTGCGCTGTGTACTGCGGGTCTGAAACGCCGGCATGTAATGTCACGTGTTGTATCCACACAATCCCTGTGGACTCATCAAGGGGAGGAAGGAAACTTTTGCGTAGGTGCTTGTGTATTAAGAATGCATATCTTCATAGAGGTAGTAATATTAACGACTCATTAGAAACGGTGGTCTTTCATCAGAAAAACTGAGGTGTGTTATTCCTGTTACAGGAAGCAGAGGTGTGAGGAGTTATGGGAGACAGTGGAGGCCTCCAAGGGAGAAAGTAGGCAGGCAGGTGAGTCACCCTGGGAAAGTTCCTGTTCAACAGGATCGCTTCAATAGTGGGAGTGTAGGCACCACTTTTGGGGCATTGTTATGTTCAGGTGTTGGACTTTCGGGTTGAGGGGAGTTGACAACCTCGGATTTGTGAGGGGGGTGGGCGATCCCTGGCCAGGGATGATTAGGCTTATTTTTAGATGTAGAGTAGGGAAAACATACTTCTTGTTATGAGAAGGCTGGGTATAATAGCCTTCACATTTTCTGGGATAGTGATGGGAGTGATCCCTTTTAGCATTAACAGATCATTTAAAACTTGAGAGCAGAGTTGAATGTCACCACCTGCTATGTCTTTGGCCACATGTACATTGTTGTGCTCTAGTCATTATCCCGCAAACTGTGGATACCTGAGACATAGAGATGAATTACTGACTTGTTGTTGCATTTTGTGTATGGTGTATGTGAGGGTTAGATTGGGGCGCTTTCCAGAGGGGCGAATTTCCAAACATTGGAACCATTGGTAGAGACCTCTGAGGAGTCCCACTTGATCAAGGCATGAGAGCTGGGAAGGAAGTTGGGACATCGTTGGGCGCGGGCCTGGAGAGTGGTCTTCTTAGCAGTGGACAGTTTCTTGGCTTCAAGAATTTTCTGCATTTCCTTTTTCCTTTCAGGACAAATAGCAGAAACAGCATGATGTTTTCCATGCAGAGGACACATTTAGGTGTATTTTTGTTGGTACAATCTCTATACGAATGTTGGCCAGAGCAAATGCTACAATCTGCCCTTGAGTACTGCATTTATTGTTGTTATGACCAAAGGCATAACACTTGAAACATTGTGTCACACTGACAAATCGTTCAAGGGAGATTTGGTCAGGTGTACATCTGGTGCCAAAACATTTGAATCCATGTTGACACACAAGTTTGGCCTCCTCAGGTGTCTCAAGTATTAGCTTTAAGGTCACCTTGTTGTTGGTAGGATTAGAGAATTTATGTGCTTCTACAGCCCTAAAGTCAGAATTCTCGGTATTAATGTCGTCAACAATTTCATTCACTGTGCTATGTTTCATGAAACTGTTGATTCTGGCCACAAACACAGTCCTCTGAGCTTGATAGCTATCAGGTGCAACTGGGGTAACACCAGAAGTCTTGAGTTTTTCAAGCACATCATGCTTCAGAAGTTGAAGTAACTCTTCTTCCGAAGAGAGGAGAAGTACTGCTCCAGCGTGGGTTTGAAAAACATCCACTGGAGCAACAGTTGAGTTGGAGCAAATACATGTGAGAATTTCTCTCATTGTCATTTGATTGCCGTCAATGCGTAATCTTACATGTATCCTCGCCATGATGTTGAGGAAGGAACATCTGGCAGAGGAGTTTCTTAACAAAAAGGGGAACTTTCCTTGATGTTAAACTATCATCTATTACAGCTGACTTATGAAGGTTATAAATAGTGCAAAGGTGATATTTAAACAATTCCAGAGATGGTTGACACAAACCCACTACATTATAGTATGCTTTTCACTTAATGATGAATTCATTTACTGACATTGTGTTAGGAACAGAACTCCATCATTAAGTGAGGAGAGGCTGTATTAAACTTAAAAAGAGAAACTTTCGTTTTTCTTTTTAGGTTACCTGCCTTGGTAGGACATGGCTGGTTTGAAAAAAAAATATTGTAAATAAAATTAATTGAATTTTTTACATTGTGTCTTGAACCCTTTGAGGGTCGACAGGCCCTCTCCGAGACTCGTTCTCAGGGTCGGCCAAATTTAAAAAAGAAAATAATTTTTTCTTATAAAAAGATAGAGAATCTTTTCCCGATCATAATGACACCAAAAGTATGAAATTTGATGGAAAACTTACGGAATTATGCTCTCGCGAAGTTAGCAGTCTCGGCGATGTTTATGCATCAGCGATTTTGCCCAATTTGAGCCCCATTTTTGGCCAATTCCACTGTACTAGTCAACAAAAAACATGAATATTTCGCTAGAACTCCATTTTTTCTATCGAATGAGTGCAAGAAACCACCCATTTACCAATTTCAACTATCCAGTACAGTGGTCAGAATTTAGCAATTTTGCCAATTTCACACAAATTTCAAAAGATGCCAGTTTCCGAATAGGGCTCAGAATAAACAAGAATGACATTTCCTCTGTTTATTAGTCACGTCTCAAGGCCCCTCTTACATTCTTTTGCTTTCCACTTCGAATTTTTATTCTCACAAAAAATAGAAGATTTACTGTTATGCAGACTACTGCATTAGTGTAAAAAATGGTATAAATAATATTGGCGCACTTGCGAAAGAATATTAGACTCACCAGTTGACGTGTATTGGATGCTTGGCATAATTTGTTTACTTTTGAACTTTGGTAAAAATCGAACATTTCTGCTACTTTGAGCTCAATTTCAAGGTACTTTTCATTGTAAAACCAGTCAAAATCACTTCAATTTCTGTAATATGTCATCCATTCTATAAAATGAGACCAAGAAAACTAGAATACAACAATAAATACCATACGAAAATACAATGCAAAGTTGCTGTTTTATTCCAAAAACACGGTCAAAGTTTTTTTTTTCTCATTATGCACTGTGTGCTGCAGGATTTTTTTTATACTGTGCACACTGACCACATAGACTCATTCTTTCATATGTAGGCCTACCAGCTTTCTCCCACTAGATTTGAGGGCGCTAGAATTTACGCATACTAGTACATCAAAAACCCTGGGTCATAAGCTGTACTAGTACTGCTGAAACCCTCAAAGGGTTAAATATTTATAACTTTTGTAAAAATTATAGCACAGTGTGATAAAAGATTTTTTTTTATTAATATTTTATTTAATTGTAGAAGATGTAAAATATATAATTTTATAATATCAAATGAATTATAATACACAGATAATTTATAATTTCATTTATAAAAGTTAGTTTTGCTTTTGTTGCAGCATTTGATCCATGTGTTCCATCCACTGACATCAGAGCATGTTGTCTACAATCCAGTACGAGCCAAACGTCCAATGCCAATTCCAGAGATGAATATATTTGAATGGGTAGACAAAACCAGTGCAGAAACTGCCAAAGATTGTGATTTTTGCCAGTATGATAACATGACAGCAGTCGATGAATTTGGCAGGTATGTATTACAGGTACAATACATACCAATTTTCCAGCACACTTGCTTCCTTGGCTTTGCCATTTTATCGATTTTCCTGGACCAACAGAGGTCACATAATAATTCAACAACACACATTTCACCCACCATGGTCTGCTGGAAACTTAAATTAAAAATTATAAATGAAGTACAGTAGAGTTCCACTCATACAGCGGGTTAGTTTCAG